CTTGTATCCTTCGCAACAAAAACCATCCCCAGAAGGGGGTAAACCCAGGTGATGGGCCAGCCTGCAGCGGGGCAGCTGCCCAGCTTAATTTTCGCTACCTCTAAGAAGAACCCCAAAAGCTCTCTTTCAAAATCTCAAACGCTTCACTGCTGTTATCCAAGGAGGTGAAGAGCAGCCTGATGGGTCCCTTTGCGGAGGCACATTTACCGTTCCCAAGCTGGGACGAAGCACGCAGGCAAGAGCTGCTTGTACTGAGGAAAATGATCTCCCCCAGCAAATGAGAATGCCAGGTCTGGGTGCAGTGAAGTTAAGGGGTTCTACCAGAGAAAGTTTTGAAAACAGATACTTCATTAATGTTCAGATATTCAAAATTGTTTGTGAAGCCTGGTCATTCTTACACAATTTGCTTTGTCGCTCTAATTTTCAAGTTTTCTCCTTCAAGGGAAACAGCCTACTACAACTTTTAAGATGGTACTGATAAAAGCCAGTTATGTTTTCCTGTAACTATTATCATCTACCTTTTCCAGTTGCTTTTCCTACATAAAAAAAATGAAGATAAAATAGTTCGAAATCTACTTATCTGAGGGGCTGAGAGAGATTGGTGGGCCCTGCCTCCCTATTGTAACCTTTACAATGTGTCAGAACAATTATTCTCCTGGTTCTAGAGATTAGTCTAGAATTATAGCTAATTAACTTGCTAAAATACACTAAGATAGTGCTCCAGTTTGTAGGGTAATAATTTCAACAAAATTAATTTACATCTTAAATTTTCCATCCTACAGTACTAACACATTTAAAAATATGAATAAATTTCTAATACTTTAAAAAAATAAAAGGCACAAGAGCAGTTTAGCTGTTTGCACTCCAGACCCTCACACTGTCCAACAGTGGAACTATGAGCACTGAAAGGGGAAACTCAGCTGAGTTGCTGGTTCAAGAAAAGCCTGTGGTAGCACAAAGAAAGTCTCTCAGGCATCTGTTCCTGAGCCTGCCAGGGGTTTACACTAGCTACCTGCAAAACTTTGTGCCTGTGTGGGATTGGAAATTGTCTTGATAAAAAGCGCTGACACCAAACAACAGTGTGCTGAGTAGGTCCGACAGCCTTTGTGACCCAAGTAGAAGGTGGAGGGGAGGGTGGCCCAGAGCTCTGGCCTGCCCGGCAGCACACACACAGCCCCACGGCTTCCTGCAGACATTTAAAAAGCATCTTTTGCTTCCTCAGCTGCTCTGTTCCAGGCTGGGAACTGCTGGCAACCCCCACCTTCAGGGCAGATGACCTGAGGAAGTTGGTTATTTTCCAAAGGCGGGGAACGGCAGGAGCAGAGGGGCCACGGCGGGAGGGCAGGAGGAGGGAAGCAGCTGCAGGAAGCCGGGAGTGAATGGGCTGGGGTGCACGCAACCAGCTGCCGATTCCTAGGCCAGCTCAAGAGTCAGCTGAGGCCAAAAGGTGCCAAGCGAAATCTAATTTCTGGCTGGTGCTAATAACCATGGATACAAGTACCCGATGTTTAGCGTGGGGAGTTCAGCCCCAACCCCTCTGGCCAGGAGGAGGGAAGCAGCTGCAGGAAGCCGGGAGTGAATGGGCTGGGGTGCACGCAACCAGCTGCCGATTCCTAGGCCAGCTCAAGAGTCAGCTGAGGCCAAAAGGTGCCAAGCGAAATCTAATTTCTGGCTGGTGCTAATAACCATGGATACAAGTACCCGATGTTTAGCGTGGGGAGTTCAGCCCCAACCCCTCTGGCTCTTTTTAAGCTAAGGCTTGCCTTGAACAGGAGTCAATGCTGGGAGGACCCTCTCCTTGGCAAAGCCCAGGGGAACCGCTGCCACCTCCACACAGCTGAAAAGCCTCCTCAGCGCGGAAATTGCAGAGTGGTTGGTTGTTTCTACTTTCAAGCAGTGTTCCTGCCTGCCTTTCGAACCACAGCCCGCCTGTGTGAAAGGCATCTTCTCTCTTAAGCAGCCTTCACACGTTCCCCATCAATGTGCCTCTGTCCTTTTTCCAGCCGCCGGGTCCTTCCTCAGAGGAGAAGCAGACACCAGAGACCTCACACCTCTTCCCAGCCTTGCACCGCAGCAGAGACTGCCGTCGGGCCGTTCCCGCAGGCGGGAGCACTGCACATCACCCCCATCCCAGATGCAGCCGGTCTTTGGGTATTGGTGGGACCCACGAACTTCAGCGCCCCTGACCACAGCCTCCCCCCCGCTCCCAAGGCAGGCCCACAGGAGCATAAACACCCCAAACTGCGGCTAAAAGTGTGACAGCTGTCAGTGCAGTTATGGCCGCGACGTGGCACGGCGAAGGAATTCACAGGACCACCACACGTCTTCACGCCACGCCAGCCCTGCAGCAGCGACCGTTTTTGCGCCGGCACAGGCTCCGCCGTGGCCGCCCCTGCAGCTGGGTGGGCTGGTGGAGGGGGAGAGCAGGGGGAGAGCGGGGCCTGCTCGCCCGTGACTCAGCTCCACAAGGAGATGAGCAGAACGGTTCTGCAACTTCATCAGAACATGAATGTCTGAGGGCGTTTTACGGTGCTCTCTCACCTTGCCTGCGCAGGTGCAGATTTCAGTCCTGGCTGCCACAGAGTACAGCACTCCTATGGATGTTTCGCACACCAAACAGCTCACAAAATTTACTGGGCAGGGGCTATCATACACCTAGAAACAAAAATTTACTGCATATAGTTGTGTTCAATCCTTCGACCTGTTAGCATAACAACAGATTCACCTAACCCTTTTGCTCACTTATAAATGGACTGTTAGTGAGAAAAACACAGATGATGAAATTTAAGTTACAGAACTTAATATGCACTTTGAATATTTACCATCGTATCTCCATGTAGAACTTTTTTAAGTGCTAAGTGCTATGAGCTCACATTAAGAAATACTTGCTTCTTTTAGAGTTGAAAAAAGAACATAAAGAGAACGTAAAACTGTTTTCTTAATAGCCTAAAAATTTTCCAAATCAAGATTTTGAATATTATCATCCAAAGGCATGAGCCTGGTGTTTCACACCTGACTTCTACATGTAAACAGAAGTCTGCCACGAGACCGGCGTGTGCATATTAATGAAAAGTCATTTTACACAACTCTTCAAACAACAATATTTAATTATTTTCACATCAAAATCACTTTGTAGCTCACCAGCATTTTCTGTTTTTCTTTAAATATAAACCCAGACATTTTTAAAAGCAGCAGTTTATATCCACAGGTTTAATGCATAATTGATCCTCCTTAAAAAGGGAAAATCCATGTGTTCTGTGAAATACCTTCTACTGTTATAAGGAAATGCAGCAAGATGAGCTTGTACGTCTACAAACTCTCTTCTCCCAGAACAATCAACTTTCAAAACATAGCATTTTCACAAAATCTTATTTAACCTTCTTTTACAAAGCATATGTTGGACTTCTAACTTGGATTTATAAAATGACAAGATACCATCTCAACAGGAGAAAAAAAGAATGTAATCTGATATAAGGAAGCTCCATGCCAAATTCAGACTTGCATTGTATTTCTGAGGTACAACTCATGAATCAATACTTTATTTACTACAGATACAACAGTTTTTCTCTTTCCAGGGATGCAATTAGGAAGCCAGAGCTGTTAATGTCTGGATACATGTTGCAAATGTACAGTGACAAACCCAAGCATAACTCTTATTCCTTATCCCTCCTTTCCTCCTGTTCTCCTAACTCTGCTACTAACTCCACAAAAAACATGGAAGTAACGTAGAAATCTTTATTGCTGAAAGCTATGGTGGGACTATCATTCTTTGTACAAAAATACTTTAACGCAGTTATTTAGAAATGTTAAACAAGCATTTCAGTGATAAAATATTTTATTAGTGCTTCTGTTTGAGTACATTGAGCAATGCATTGGGACTTTAAAAAAATTCTCAAGTTTCACTACCCGATCTCTTAATCTCAGACACCACTGTTACAATAGCAGCAGATGCTGTGGTAGAGGAAATCATCCCAACAGTGAAGTTCTGTATTGCCAGTTGAGACCCAAGAAGCAAGATTCAGGTATGGTGGCGTGTGTACGTTACATATCTATGCATATAAAAAAGATTACGGGAACTCTGCCAACCATGCGTGAACGTGACCAGCCAGCTGAGCACTGCGTCTCACCCAGCTCCTGGCAGGCAGGGTGGTTAGCTGTGATACAGGATATGCTGGCTGCGGCCAGCTCTAGCATTTGATGAGATGACAAATAGATCCTTTGTGTGGGTTTCTTTGTCACTCCGAAGCATCACCAATATCACTCGCCCACTCACTCCACACGATGCAAAAATATCCGTTATTTAAACGCTTTGTATAAACTCAACAGAGACGGCTGACAAGGTATGAGATACGCTGTGGCTAGTAAAGAACACATGACACCACAAACAGAAAAAAGGGAGACCTCATTTTGAAAGAAAGAAAGTAAAACAGAGAAAGTGGAAGAAATGAAGCAAGCATCAGGTTCAATAAAAGGATGAAAATAAAGTCCTGCTGCAAAACCAGGACTATAAAGTGTATCAGTCTCTAAGTGTACAACATAATGTAGCAAACAATACGACATCAACAGCAAATGAACCAATGTCACACAACAGAGAACCTTGTGCATGAAATAATACAACTTTTTATTCACGTTTTATAGATTACTTTTATTCATTTTTGCTTTAATAATGCATATTTTGTTCACTCTGTGCAAAATCGGGGACAGAGGCGGGTGTTTAAATCATCTAATGAAAATCAAGCGGAGATGAACATTCAAGTTGAGGGAGAGGCCTATCGAAACCAGGAAAGCTAAAAAGCCACAGCTGCTCAAGACAAAGCTGCTCTCAGCTGCGCCCTTTTGTCCTGCCACCTCGCACAGACCTGGCTCTACTGACTGAGCAGCTGCACACTGAGAAGGTGACCTCCGCCGGACATCGGGGACAGGGGTCGTCGTGGTAGCTACATTAGGGAGACCTGGCTGGCAACCGGCTCCAGTCAGTGTGTGGCAAAGAAAGGCACAAATCATTGCAAAGACCAGATTTCTGTTGGTTTGTTTCCTTCTTGTAAATACATTACTGTACACAACGTAAGTTTAAATTGTAGGGGATGTGGGGACATAAAATTGCATATTTAACAGAACTCAAAATCATTAATGAAAGATAGGCTGTTCTATCTCAAAGCAAAAGTAATCCCTCCAGCCCCAACAGTAACATTCATCCCTGGCTATATGCAGTACAAACATTTTAAAATCTGTAACAAAAGACAATTAAAAACCAAAAGTCAAAATCATAAAGCTTGTAAACAGATAATCTGAAATACACTTTATTTATGGAAAAATATCATCAAAATAGTACCACTATGGACTAAACTGCCTGAGTTTTCATTTCATCTAGGATCTTGAAGTAGAGAGCCTTTAGCACAAGAAGATCAATTTCAGTCACAACTAGTGCTGCACAGCACTGCTTCAGGTGGAAATTTTGTCGTTATTGGTATTTTTGTTGTGCTATCAAAAACTGTTGTGCTAATCCTTCAAACAAAGGGATGTTGAGGCAATTCTTAAATCATTTGGCACAAAGTTATTTTGGCTGGGGCATAAATTTGAGTCTCAGTCATGAAGAATAATGCAACATTCCACCTATCAAGTATTCACTTTGATTGAAGAGCTTTCTTAATGTCATTAACCTCCATCTGAAAATAACAACAGAAAATATTTGTGATGAAATTAGATGCTTTAAGAAACTGAGGCACAGCTGGTGGTGCTTGAAAAGAACATGTTCCATTTTGCCCGCAGGTGTCGAGCACAGGTTTTACATTACTCTTACTCCCACAGATTTCACAAATTGAGGTGACCCTCTCAGCTGCAGATGACCACTTATGGCTTCCTCCCCTCAGAGCTTGACAAGTATAGTCATTGAATGTACCACACCACCTTTCAAACTCTTGAAATTACAACTTTTACAAACCACACAGCTCGCTGCCAGGAATTACTTGCAGGATGAGCACCGTGTCCACGCACCAGCTGCTGCGCTTACACCCGGCACAAGTACACAGAACTGCTGACAATGAGCACTGGTGGCTGAGGAGCAAAAGCTGTCGCCTCTCTCCTACAGGATGGCGGTTGCCTTCTACAGGCATCAAGCCTGTGTCCAGGCCTCTGATGGATGTACAGTCGTGTGATAAAAGGATGTCACTGAAACCATCATCAGCCCTAGTTGTACACTCAGCCCCTCTGACAGACACTGGAAACCCCGAGATAGGGGTATTAGAATTATTCAGGCACACCCGCAGTGCTCAGCTGCGCCACATCATCAAGGCAGTCATCTTTAACACGCGGACTGAGAGCTGTGCTACTTTATGACTATCAGAGCACTCTTAAACTAATGCAATTTTTGTTTGTTGAGCTCTCATCTTCCCCTAAAGCTAGTAACGCCACCTTGGCTAGCACCCTCAGGTGTAAGCAACATCTGAACTGGAGTAAAGCATCCAGCTGTAAGATCATAATCTTAAAACCATCAGTGCAGGTCCCTGCATAAAGATGTAAAGCCATCCTTGGAGGTAGAATCCAGAGCTCTGAATAGTCTGGCCTGTTACAACTAAATCAATGACTGCTATTAAAAATGTTCATTGATTTTATCCAAATAAATTTCAGTTTCAGCTGAACATGAATTGTGGGTGACTAGAAGCCATACTCCTATGTGGTTGCATGCATAACGTCCTTTAGGCAGCCCTGGAGCATAGACATTGATGGCCCCCAGTTCTGCCACCCTTTGCCACGTTCCCAAGCAGGAACAGTCCAGTGAAATTACCATTCAATTTTCTATCCCTAGTACAAAGAAAAAGTACAGTTGACTTACACCATAAAATCAATACTAAACCACTTATCAGGTACATAGAATAGAACAGACCAGACTAGACCAGATTAGACTATTTGAGTTGGAAGGGACCTACAACGATCATCTAGTCCAACTGCCTGACCAATTCAGGGCTGACCAAGCTAAAGCACGTTATTAAGGTCACTGTCCAAATCGCCCTCCAAGACCCTGAAACACAGTTTCAACGCCATTCCATATCCAAGCAGCACAGTCAAGGATCCAAGCCAAGGCCCAGCTCCATGACTCGCATAGCACGTTATTAAGGTCACCGTCCAAATCGCCCTCCAAGACCCCGAAACACAGTTTCAATGCCATTCCATATCCAAGCCAAGGCCCAGCTCCATGACTCGCACACAAGTAGGGCAGCGTGCTCCCTGGCAAATGACTAAGCCAGCACGACAGCACCTAGAGCTAAGGTACTACACAAACTATGGTAGCAGTAACCGGGCTCTTAATCAGAGCACGTTCTTTTGTATTGTTTAGCATGCCTTAGTAAAAACAACCTGAGCACAGTCTGCAAAGTAGACATAAAAACCTTGCTATATGAAATAATACTCCAAGCACATCAACACTAAGACAAGCCTACCACAAAACATAAAGCTTTGGGAGAGAGCGACTCACTTAAAAAGATATGATTTAGTTTGTGACAAAATCAAACCATTAAAACTAAAAAACATCATAGTTTGAATCCTATATTGTGGGTTTGTGGGTTTTTTTGCTCTACTTGTGCTGATAATTTTTTAGGTAATTACCACATGTATGAACCATCTTACACACGGAAACAGCCTGCCCAGAGGAGCTGTGGCTGCCCCCTCCCTGGCAGTGTTCAAGGCCAGGCTGGATGGGGCTTTGAGCAACCTGGTCTGGCGGAAGGTGTCCCTGCCCATGGCAGGGGGTTGGAACGAGATGGTCTTTAAGGTCCCTTCCAACTCAAACCAGCCTATGGTTCTATGGGGCAGACTGGCAACACTATGAAGGGAACAGATATATCCCTTTCAGAAATGTCAGTAGGTTTTGATTCACTGGAATCTAAGTATCTTAGCAGAGTTTTACGTCCCATACCTGAGGCTAAATCAAACCTGCCAATACTTCCATAACATTATAAATAATTTAAGTACCTGCAATCGTAAACGGATCTTCTTTTCTTCATCCAACTCAGACAGCAACTGTTTAATCTCTTTTCTGTTGAAAGAATGCAAAAAGTAGTTTGGAATGGAAGGGACTGGACTAGTAAATTATAAAAGATGACCTCCTGAGACTTTTTTTCCCTGCTTCACTAGTTCCTTTTTCACTCTGAACAACTAAGTCAGTACTATGCTACACTGCAGAGAAATAAGACTCTCTACAAAAGGACAGTTCCCCCCACCCCATATGGCTGACGAATAACATGTTTCATGTTTCCTCCTAATAGCCCTGCACCCACTGGCTTCGCTCTGCACTATCTGTATCAACACTGTACCAGCACCCAGTTGCCTTTTTTTCCACACAAAAGGTAGATGGATTGGCTGTCGGTGGGTTATAGGAACTGGGGACACAAATCCTGCCCGTGCTATCACATACTTAGGCCACTTAAATGCTGTTTATGCCAGCAACACAATGTAACCTTCATCTTCATTTATAAGACCTAACGATACCAAAAGGGGATTCGCTGTCATCCTTCTTTGTCGGGAAGCGGAACATAGCCATAAGGAGCAGACACCTTCTCATGCTCCCACTGAGTGATCGCACCTTAAGACGGAAACCAGTAGGTGGAAGCAGCCCTCGCAAGAAGGGCCGGGGAGACCTGAGAGGCAGGGGTCAGCCTGAGGCGAAGCCGTGGGTCTCGGTGGCTAGATCCAGCTTGAACCTGCCCTCCTGCATCTTCTCCTAAACTCCCCCCACACCTCTGTTCCACCACAGCCCCTGCATGCTCCTTTTCCTTTTCTTTTTCCTGCCTGGGCGACACACAACTGACGATGTAAGTGAAGGTCTAGCTTCCAAAACATTAAATATTCTCAGGAGTAGCAAAAGCTACTCGCCAGCCCCAGTTTCTTCTAACAAACGAGCAGCTTAAAGAAAATAAAGATGCCCAACACTAAAATAGTAAGATTTAGGGTCATAAACATGGAAGTCTTCAAATGTCCTAATCACAATTCAATTACCTCTTTTGTAATATGAGCTTCCTGGGAAACTGTGCTAACAGTCAAACAGCAAATTGATTTAATAATTTTAGGAACCTGTAGTAATGAGTACTACAACTAGAACAAATGCACCCCTTACTAAGATCAATGCACATGAGTTCCCAAATAGTTACTGGCAAATAAAACAATGTAAGAACCTTATTCACTGCTTATAGCTTGTAATTTAACCTTTTCAGTGCCCTATACACATCTGCTTACGCCGTAACACAAAATAAAAAAAAGCTGTTATAGATGGATAGTGTCAGTCTTTTTTCCTGAGCTTCTCACCCCTGAATGTGTTCTGTCAGATGAAAATCACTCACAAACACAAAGGCAAACTGTGCAGAGTAACACACACGAAGGCAAGCTCAAGAAGAAACTGGCACCACCCACGCGTGAACGGATGCATCCCACCTACAGCTGTGATTTGCAGTACTTACTTTTGCTGGTCTTTCATGGTTTCAATGATGGTTCTTAGCTCCTTAATTTGTGTTCTCAACTCCTCCAGGGCAGTCTGACCTTGGCTCAAGTGCTCAGTCTTTGGCTTTCCTTCAGTACCAAACAGGGATGGGGAATTTGACCTGTGGCCTGTTGTTCCCATAGCAATTGAGTGAAATCCAGGTGACGGTGAAGGGGATAGTGACGGTTGTACATTACTGCCACTAGCCAAACCTCCTGGTTTTGGAGGCAAGGAAGTTTTGTTATCAGACACCTGCAACAAAAAGAATAACATGTAATGCCTGCAGAAAGCTTTATAAAAACCAGATTTCTAACAAATATTTTCTGCTCTTCAGTAATGTTGGAAATCCATAGTCAAACATCGACAGTTTTGGCCAAAGCACGATAAATACAACAATTAGTCATTATCTTTGTACATGTACATCAGAGGGGGTCCAGCCAGGGCACAGAAGTTCAGGCAGCTTCAGTTAGACTTTCCACATTTGCTATAACCGGTCAGAAACAAGCGTGTCCAACATCTGAGACCTATCAGTGAAGTGAACCAGGGACAGATGCTCAGTGTTTCTCTCAGAAGTTTGTGAGAACATACCTACATCCAGGGACGTCTCCTGCAGAGCACAAAACTGCATGGCCAAGAATTCAAGTTTTGGATTTTGGATATTTTTTTACAGATTAAATTTCCGAATGTCAACTAACCATTGAAGGAATCTTCAACAGCCAGTGTTTTTTAAAAATTAAAAATGTGTTATATGTTGCCCGTAACATTATGAAAATAGCAAAATATTCCTTAAGTTTCCTTGTCAGTATGATATAAAGGGAAAAACAAGATCCCATGGCTTCAAAATGATAATATATTAATAAGAAATAAATATACTGTATTGTCCTCTGTTAACTGAAGCTTCTGTGAATCTCCATAACTACCAATGGCTCTTTATTCCTCCAGGAACTTAGGAGAAAAATGCAACATCAACCTAGTTACCCTGGAACCACATGGCTAGCTCAGGAGGATCCCATGCTTCTTGAATTTCAATCCAGAGCTCTACTTACTAGAGAGGGTATAGAAAATCTTAAGTCTGCCTACCATACATGACCAGCTACTTCACTACATACACAGAAGAGTGTATAAGTACAGTTATCACAATGGCAAGTAGGGCGAGTCTTAATTTTTTATCCTATTGTTATTTGGCAGCGTTAATATGTGCATTATATGACAGCTACCAGGAGTATCTGAAAATCTGCTTTGGCCAAAAGTAAGAAAAAGCACTAGGCAACCCTCTGACTCTGTGTTTGGAAAAGAGATAGTGAAGTTGAATGGAAAATAGGGTAAGATATTTAGAAAAAAAGGTATGGAAAAGGAAGGAGACATTAAGTGAGGACTTGGGCACTGGGGTGGTGGCATTAGCTGGACAAAGTGAGAGAAAAGTGGTCAGGCGAAAATTAGGAGAAAGTGTAATGGGGAGGGAAAAGCGGGATCCACCAAGTTCTGCATAAAACAGTCTTTCTCACCATACCAGCATGAAGAGAACCTATCCTCAGCAAGCACTGCATAAAAAAACTGTTCTGCAGTAAAAACAGTGTGACCATAGAAATAAAAATGGTGTTGTAATCACAAGAAAGCTGAATCACTCCAGTGGCTTAAATGTTTTACTTCATGACCTTACAGAATCACAGAATGGTTTGGGTTGGA